TTTTTCATAGCTGAATTGCTGAATATTTTAACTGCATTACCAACGTTCCTAGAATCGCGGTGACAAGAACTGGTAACATTTTTTGGTAATAAAATTTTCCGGTTACAAAATCTTCGGTAACATGCAGAATAGACCTGTTTGTAAGAGACATCAGAGATATGGATAGACCAACGTGAATTATTAGCTCTGAAAGGCGTGAATAAATCATCATGAATTGTTAAAGGTGAACATAATGTGCCATTGATTTTTCCAGATGCGAGTGGGACGGACGTGACATGGAAGGGTGGAATGGGGTAGGGGTTGTAAAGGAGGCTCATTGAGGATTGGGGTCGACGATAATTGGCCGTAGTCGACCATGGCAGGGTGGGTTTAGGAAGGTCAGCCAGATAACACCGCTGGCATAGCGGCAGCACTTTGGAGGTGCAGAAACGGTCAGACTTGGGCGGGAGGGGTAACGACGGGGCGGGAGCGTCATATCTCCTGACGGCGAGAGAGGCGGGTACGATTTTTTTGTATGGTGCGGACGGCATGCGTAACGGATCACAAGAACCACCCCATAGTCCGTCAAGCTAGCTCGTGCTTAAATGCAAGCGTACTCGTGTGATTCTGGGCATGCATGATGAGGATGCGATGGCAGTCAAGAGAGGCATTCGTTCTGGAAGACACATCTTCCGACGACCCGTGCGTAACAAAATTCTAATTGACACCCTTTTCAGTAGGTTTTTTTGCACATTAGTTTCACTGTGAGAACTGATCGTGATAGATACGGATCTGAATAAGCGATTGGAACACGGCTGTTTGTTAAAAGCATACGATTTCGCACTCGCTTAAATGTGCATTTGCTAAATGCGATGGCATGAAAGCTTTTCGAAAAAATATGTCCGAAAGTTCTAAATGTTGAATTTTAAATGCAGCAAAAACGCTGCATAAGGCTGATATATTGGCAACACCAAGCACATCCATGTTTTTATTACTCTTACAGGTCTATTCTGCACGTTACCGAAGATTTTGTAACCGGAAAATTTTATTACCGAAAAATGTTAGCAGTTCTTGTCACCGCGATTCTAGGAACGTTGGTAATGCAATTAAAATATTCAGCAATTCAGCTATGAAGAATTGTGCAAATTCTGGCATTGCATATTTCACGGGGCAGTACTTTGTTACCAGCTTATGAGATGGTAACAAAATTTACCGGTTACAAGCATACACTGGAGGTGGGTAACTCAACTCAGAGTTGAGTTATTGAGTTGATTCCTATAAGTGAATCGGTAACTCAGACTCCCTGTCCAAAAAAAATGTAACTCAGTAACTCAGTTGATGCCGTAGGGCTCATGGCTCATATTTGTCCATATAACTCTCTCGCTTCGCCACAGTGTTTAGCATGGCAAAGTCTTGCATTTTGTTTTTGCACGAGGCGAATTTATACAAGGTGGTGGCAAGAATACAACAACAACAACCACATGTATTTTGTATTGCGGGTGTTATGTCAAATCTCACAAATTCTTATAATTTCGTTTTTTTTTAGTTTTTCTCGAAATATGTATGTATGTAAGATATATAAAGATGTGCATATCAAATCAATTGCCTTTCCAACCATATCCACATTTTGAAATTCGGTACAAT